AGGACTAGGTTTCCATTATAACAAAAAGATTAAAAGGAAAACAGACCTATGAAGCTAGCCTATCTTTTAGGGTACGTCTCACCTGCAAATCAGGAGAAGCAAATATAACATGCTTAGGAATATCTGAGTTAGCTTTAATTTAGTTAGTTCCAATAAAGATAGCAGCTTCTACAGAGACTGCATAAATGGCACCAGGAATCCTGGTTTTTACTCCAAAGCAAATAGTCCATGCTTGAACTGGCATGTTACACCTACAGTCACCAAAATTAGCACGATTACATTTGTCTTAGGTTGTGGAGCACATAGACTTATACGCGAAGGTGCGACTACAGAGCACGCATACTTTAAAGCAGCCTATATACCAGTATAACAAATCAAGTTGCAGATATAGTTCCACAGGACACAGCTCATCTCTCTTAACATACAGATCTCCTTTACTGCACGAGTTGAAGCTACTACAAATACACAACACAAATAATGATTTTATAATTTTTTGCAATAGAACAGATAATGAATAAAATTTGAGATAGTAAGTTAAAAAGTAGAAAAATAGTGATAATGAAAAGTAGAATACAAATTACATGGGATCAAACACCTTACTCTCCTGCATTCCTCATACCCATAAAACTTTGAGAAGTATACAGCTATACAACTGTGCATAAGTAAGTGTACTAACCCCTGGAAAACTGCCAGGAACACTAACAGCTTCACCTCCAATTCAGGAACACAGAAAATATACATTTACTGATACTAAAGTGGTACATGTTTAAAACTAAACATGTATTTAAATGTTACGTAAAAATATTTTAAATCAGCATGGGCTCAATTGTTTTCTTACATAGGGATGCAGAACAGTAGGCACTTAACTGCCTGCCTGGACAAGGACTCATAGGAAGTTGCTCAGCCTTCCACCTAGCCACTCATGTTGTGGCCAGCAGGCATCACGCGGCTGAGCTACCAGAAGGCACATATGTACAACAGCGGACAACAAAAAGCAATGTGAATAGAGACTGGCACAAAGGGGAATACAAAGCACTGGAGAAAGACATCAGGCTACACAAAGGAACCTCAGCACAGCAAGAGTCAGTGGGTAAACTACTCTGACTTCTATAAAGGACACAACTCCTGTGGGGTCACAGACACATAACTCCTCTCCAGCAGAAGGGAAAAAGTTCTCTTGCAACAAACCCACGCCTAGATTCCCCTGGTCTTAGCAGCCCGTATTGCAGCTACAAGACAACCAGTGGTTTCCCCAAAGCTCCTTCTCCTCTCCCTCATCTCCTTCTGCTCAGAGTAAGGCATGAAAGATAGAGAAAAGCTCAGACTTGTAATACAAATTCAGTTAAAAGTTCACCTTGGAGTGGCTGCCATATGTATCATAGTGGTTTGTAAAAGCTCTGACCTAAAGAAAAAAAAAACATGCAAACCAGACAAATTAAATTTAATTTTATTATGGAAATGAAAGTAATAACAGAAGTGACAGCAGGGTGGATGATAAGCTCACTTAGCAGGGGGATCAAATGAAGTGATGACATGTCATTATGACCTCAGGGGTTAAAGATGCAATTTTCCATCTGGCTGCATCTGGCTTTTCAACATAAATGTTGACACCACCTGCCGAGATTTACTACAAGCTGCCTCCATAGGTCTTTGTCTAGCTTTTGTTACCCAGGTTAACATTTACTTTTCCTTCTTTTCTGATCAGTTTTGCTGAGCAACACGCTCCCATTCTTCAAAACCCAGCAAACAGTTAAAAGGATTTTACATGCCACTTTATATAAATAGATCAAATTATTAATAGTAACTTCACAAGCAGCTCAAAGACAGATACAAGAAACCTACAAAGCAGGTAAAACTAGCCTTAAGATTGCAACCAGGAAGACAAAACTTTAGCTACACTTGCTAATATCTTGCATTGTCTGAGACTTCTAAGAATCTACTTTTCTAACAGGTACCCGAATGAAATAATTTATCTGAAAAAAATCTTTAGAATTAAAGAACTAGATTGTACTCACCATATCCAACTGACTATTAGCCACCTGCATGGGTTTTATTCAGCAGTTTAATAGCTTCCAATTCCAGATACACTGTGCTTAAAATAAATCATCTTTTGCCAGCCTAGTGACACATTCACTTATTCATCTAATTTAGCCACAGCCAAACTATGATCTCAAACCAAATTTGTAATCAGCTATTGACACAGTGTTGGCTATAAAGGTTTTGTTTCCACATTGAATATTTAAAAGCTACCACCAGTGGTGTTCCTCTCCTGGAGGCTTAACCTGGAGTAGGACTGTATGCTTACTACCACTTGATACACCCATTACATTTTTGCCTGCGCCAAACTTTTTTTCTAAACCTACAGCTGCCAGACTTTTCTCTGCCAGTACAGGTGAGCTAAAAAGCTTGCTTCCAGCTGTTTTTAGAGTGCCCAGATTCTTCACTAAAAAGAACCTGCAGTATAACTGTTTAAACATAGAGGTCCCAACCTCCACTAGGACTTGGTTACATACCAAGGAAAGAGAGGAAGAAAAGAAAAACCCTCCACAGATTTTGAGAGCACCCTGGGACTACAGCTATGAAAAGACATGAGAAAAATGGAGACAAAGAAAGTTAATGAAGCTTGCACGGAGCAAAGAATAGCTAAGAAACAAAACAGAGAAAGTATCCAGAGTGATCAGACACACAAATAACCTCATTGAAAGACCACCACAAAAATACCTATAAGTACCTTCCCCTCTCAAAATTCTTCCACCACAAAGGCAATTACCAGAGGGATGTCATAACCTTCTTCCCCTGGAATGGAAGATGTACCACCCCCATCTCCAGATGCCTTACTCACCTCGGAGAGCTGGGAACCCTTGTTCTTAAGGGTTCTATAAAGAGAACCCTTTTTTCTATTTTTTTTTTTTCCTATGTCTGTTAAGGTATTTTCTGAATGACAAGTGAACTTTGTTGTTCCCTTCAACATAAGGGAAAAAGAAAGTGTTCCTGTTTACTTCGCACATGCTTAACTTCAAGCACATGCTTCACTGCTAAACTGAACAGGAATGACTTAAGCATACGCTTAAATGCTTTCCTGATTCAGACCCTAAAAATAGGAATGGTTTCTGCAGTTCCTCTTTCTCTTGTTCTCCTAATGACAGACAACTATTGTGCCATGTCATTATGACAATAAGATAGCTTAATTGCCCTCTTTCCAGAAGCTGTCAGTTCTGCTTAACTGGTACATAATGTATGCGTCTGGGAGCAAATGTGTTAATGTATCAGTCACTTATGTCTACCATACATTTTCTTCTGCAGTATTTAAAGAAAGTCTTGGTTTTTATGACTGACTTGCTAGACATTATATTCATTGATATGGGCAGCAGTGATATTACTGTCATGACTCATTTCTTTGTGAAAGATGCACGAAATAACTTTCTCCTTCATTTACCACACTTTTTCAACTCAACTTCAACCTGGAATTTCCCCATACTTGTATTTAAGGTTTGGCAAAAAAAGGCCTCCTGAAAAATGACAGTGTAAAATGAACTGGCTGTTCCTGTAACTAATCAGGATTGATGAATCAAAATGTTTGGAAACACCTGTAGTTGCTTTAGAATATTTTGTGCATTCTTTTCCTGTAGTAACATAGTCATTGAAAGCATACAGAGAAGAACAAGAATCAACAACATCTACAGCATGTAATAAGCAGCTATGAATGGAAGGCCTTTAATTCTTTAACTCAGAAGTACTGGTAAGGTAACACCTAAATATACAGCCTGTGCAGGCTGGCTCAATTCTCTTTCATATTGTTCTTTCTGATCATGATTATTACCGAGCTCCCACTGTATCCCCTCACTGCTTCTTGTGTCTTGTGCACTTAAGAAGTTATTTTTTCTCCCACAGTCTCTTGTTAAATTGTGAACTGGAATGCAAAGACTATTTTTAACCATTGTTTTACAAGTCTATATGTTGCTATATTAACAAATATGACAATGGCGTGTTTTTGTTTGTGTTAGTAAGGCCTCCCTTTTCAGAGAAGTATTACTTGCAACTCATACACATACTTTTGTAGGCCTTCAGAGAAGGCTGTGAAGACATTAAAAGTGAGGGAGAAAAAAAAAAGCTGCATGAAAAATAGAATAAATCTGACAAGAACAATATAAAGCTTAGTAAGATTTGAACACGCAGCTTTCTTTGTTCATTTAATCCATTTCTCACTGTTTTCCTACCAATACTTTTGTTTTTAAACCATGAAAGCATGCTGATACTTATAACCAGTCTGGTTGCAAAGTTCCCAAGACTCTGGACTCCATGCTGACTCCATTGAAAGAACACAGGTGAGACACAGAAGTGGTGATGTGTAGGGACTTTGCCTGAAGTGGCAGAGTCACTGTTTCCTATCAAGTGAAGTGGAAGCCAAGGCATATTGCCAGGGAGAGTGAGCTGGCAAGCAACTACAGGGGCAAGAGTACACAGCACACAGAGATTTGTGACACTTATTCTGGTGTTAATAATCAATTGGTACAGTCCATAAATCAACTGTTTCATATAGATGTAAATGGTTTGCATGTGCTCTGACCAGAATTGAAAGTGGTCAATTCTACTGGAAGTTACAAATTCAATCCTGAACCAGGAGTTGTTTCCAACCTTTTTCCCAATGTTACATAAGTGCTATATAAACATTTTTGTTCCTAAGAAAGATCACAATGGAATGAAAATTCCACAGAAGCTGGTTTTTCCCCTCAAAACCATCATTAATGAAAGTTCACATTTTTATTTAAAATGCAATTCCTCCCTCCCTTCTCCAATGATGTCACTACATCAAAAAAAACCGCACTGAGTGTCTTTGCTTATGTAGTAAGAATAGCTGGATAGCCAAGGTTACTAAATGAAAAAGACTGATCACACTTCCATTTATAGGAGGTAGCATTTCTTTTGATTTTACTGATACTTGTTCATAGATGATGTGGGAAAGGTTTTTAGCATACCTCAATAACTACTCAGGAACTTACTTGGTTTTTTGAATCCAGACGCAATAGTCCGTAATGAAGAGATCATTAAGTATGTAGGCAGGGTCATTCTCCATAAAAATCTTGTGAATGTCCAGCAGACACTTCAAAACTGCAGCTTTTCCTGGAAATAGATTTTTATTTTTGTAATTCACTAGAAATCGTAACAGATAATCTTTACCATCTTCTCACCTTTGAGGCTTTAATAACCATGCTATCTACAACCATCTTGTAACTTTGATTCACAGTCTCAGAACGCCAGTAATATGACTATGCCCCTCAGTATCCACATCTATGTGGATGTGGAGCCTCTGAATTCAGTAGGAATCTCTCCGTACGACTAAAGCCTCAAGGCATAGTCATGCGTGTAATTCTCTACAGCTGAAGAAGCCCCCTCCCCCAGTTTTTCCACTTCTCTCTGAGCTCTGCTGGCCCAAACTTTAGCACAGTCATACAGTGAACCATATGGGGGGGAGAAAAGAAAAAAAAAAAAAAAGAAAAAGGGAAGCTGAAAAGTAACTCTCAAATAACAAAAAGTTATGCTCCATCATGTAGGTGAAGAAAGAGAAAACCTATTTCCCTGTATGCCTACACAAATACCTGTGCTGGAAAATAATAAGGTTGGGAACACACAGCCCACAGCAGGGTCAAGCACGCAGGAGCCCCAGCAATTGTGTAAGCCAATGTAAGCGATACCATCGCCTAACATCTAACCATTGCCTTAAATTAAGCAGAACTTTTCCTACTTCAGTTAGTTACAGAATAATTTGGCAAATTGAGCCCCCAGAAAGAAAAACTCACTTCAGGCTCAAGAAAGTGCCATTTGACACACAGCTGATAAATGCAGTAAAAGATTAAAAACTTGAATGTTTTCTCATCCACCACCAGAAATCTTTCTGTAGTCAGTTTAATTTTCTTCATATGCAACCATTGTTTATGAAGAAGAGAACTGATTAATGTAACCTCCAATTAGCTGGAATCTCCTCCCTTAGTTTTCTGATTAAAGTTGCTAAAGAGTTAAGTGCTGGAACACTAAAAAAAAAAAAATTTTTCACTGTTTAATGGGCAGGGGGGGGAACCCAAAACATTCAAATGAAAACAGCCACTACTGCAAATGGAATCTAATAACCCTCTCCCAAGAGGCTGGCTCCTCCTAGGCTATGAAACCTGAACATGGATGAAATTTCATTTTACAGATTAAAAAAAAAAGAAAAAAAAAAGAAAAAAAGATCAGAACTCCCCCTGCTGTTCGAGCACAAAATTTGTTTGTTTGTTTTTAAGTAATTCTGTGCTGAAAAAAATATAGACAGAGAATGAAAGTTAAAGGATGTGGAAGATGGCAATAAGGAGAAAGAACCTGGAGAGTAAAAAGCCATGGCAAACAGAACTGAAAAAGCCCACTGGTTTAGAAGAGAGCAGTTGAAGAAAAGTCAGGAAAGAATGCAAAAGAAAACATAAAATCCCAAATATAACTGATGAACTTTTAGATTGTATCACCATCAATGCTTGTCAAGCCAAGCTTGTCAAACTTCACTATTTTGACTAAAAAGAAGTGTGCTCTTTTAAAAAGAAATGATATGTGGAATTAAAGTTTTGCTAATTTTTTAGGTTGTAGCTGTCAAGCTGCCAGCCTGAACCATTTACAACATCCACTACTGTTACTCATCTGCCAAGTAACAATGTAAATTAGTGACTATGACACTAATTCTCAATAAAAAGTAGTCTTTCTTCATAAATTAAAGTTTAAGATTATAGTAGCTTAATGGGCCTCTGATCAGAAAGGTTGAAAATCTAGCCAGACTTAATAAAATAGGGAACCCTACATACAGGCAAACACACAGAGCACGGCAAACTACCAAGCTTCTGCTTTCAGAATATGCATCTTATACATGCACCCTATAAAGAAGAAGTCCTTATACAAAACCGCATCTAACTCCTCACCACAGGAATAAAAAATAAGAGCTGAAGAGCAAACACTATTTAAGCCTTAACGTAGGATATTCCATAACATGCAGATGATTCTTGGCCTATTTCTGTGAAATTCCACACCGTAGGTTCTGTCTTTGACTATCTACTTCAGTCTTCAGTAGACATCTGGTCTTAACTTTCAGGCTGTGCTTATGTATTCAGCAGTATTATTACTTACACTGGCTTAAGTACTCTTTGCTGCAGTCCTCTGCCTCCCTCTTTTCCACAGCTCTTTGTGATGTGCCAGTACAAGTATTCATGAAACCATACAGCAAACTGGATCAGAGAACTGATGAAGCCAAAAGGTGGACAGGCCAGGGGCTTTTTGGCAGTTATGTCAGTCCAACTCAATGAAAGGTTGTCTATCAAAGCAAACCTAAAATGTGCTAGTTTTAAAAGTCTTACTACTTTTGCAGGCCTAGGATTGTCATTTTTTATAATTCACTGTATACTGGAGTTAAGAAAGCCATAGAATAGAAGATGAAGACATGCCAAGGATTATCAATTTCATTTTCTTCACATAGCTTAAAGAGGCAACCACTTTTAAGTTCAAGGGTGTAGAAGAAAAATCATCTATTTAGAAAAACAGCAATAAATGTTTAAGAGCAGGCACAAGATAATAATCTCAGGAAAATATTAATTATTTATTTTTAAGTCAGTTTTTGCATATCTTCCGTGCAAAGTTACAGCTTTGCATTATACTGATCAATAAATACACTGCTTTTTATGTACAGATACTATTTCTTGATTATTCGGAAAAACTAGTTATATTTAAAAGTACAAATAAAAAGATTCCAACTTCTGTAATAGAATCAAAACTATTAGATCTTCTAAGTTATTAAAATTTAAGATGTAGAACTTACAAGTGTATGACTTAAGACAGACTCTAATACCGTCTATTTTTTGGCGTGAAGATCTGTGTTAGAGGTAAAGGAGGATAACAACCAACTTGAAATTGGGATATATTGCAAGATGGGGTATCAAATCTAAGTACTAACCCGTGGTTTTTCTGAGACAAAGGTGCTTTTCTTTTACTGCCATTAAAAATCATGACACTGCTGATGGGGAGAGGATGAGTTGCAACTGCAGAGGAAAAGCAGCAGAGTGGCTGAGTAGACAAGGCAAAAATCATAGAAGTCACAGCATATGTCTGCAGATCACTGGATTCTTCTGGAGCTCATTGCTATGACAGCTGGTAGACGACAGCCCACAACTTTAATTCTACAGTTTCAGAAATCCAGTCCTCTTTCCACAGTTTAGTTCAAAAAAGGATACAATTTGACCCCAGCTCTGTATCTGCCATTTGATACAACCACCTACTGATTTTACACCAACTTGAAATTCTACCAGCTTTCACACTGAATATTTGGAAGCAAAGGAAATTAGTAGTCCTATCATTCTATTTTACATTAAGTTATTTTTCCTGCAGACTTTTATATGTTTTTCCACATTTTCAAGAAGGAGGAGCATTCATCTAAAAAGATAAACTGAACTTCACTGTCTCATTAAAAAGTGAGAACAGCAGCATTCTTAAAAACAAGAAAAGAACTCTTACAGACTTTTAAATGAAAACATCCTGGTAATAACTTACCCAGCTAGGCGACAGTACTATCTGTTTTTAATGGACAATTATATTATCCTAAATCTATTAGTGTTAACTGCTGTAGGGAAAGAAGCAAAGCATATTTTGTCGTAAAAAAGGGCACAGTTGAGTTTTCTCTTTATTATTAGCTCATAGACAGTAACTTCCAAATCAGTATTACACAATGGTAACACAGCGTCAGTAAATACTGACAGAACCAGCCCACACTACTTACTTATTACAGGTCTACTGAAAAGAAAAAGGGCTCCATATATTTACATAAAAAACACACCTGATTAATTTTTGTTAGTCAACTGTCAAATGCAGTATATACCTTTTGTTGGAAATAGCATGGTAGCTGGATGTACCACTGCATTTCATTCCCTTTTTTAATCCTATCCAAAGAACAGATAAATACAGTAGATATCCTAGATAACTACGCTGATTTTTGAACAGTTTTGCTGAAATATTTTAAGTATTATAGGTCACTAAAATAGCATATGAAAAAATCTGCTGAGGACCTCAGCATTAATCAGCTTAATGCATTCATCTTACAATCAACACTTTGGCAGGTAGTCTTAATTGAAAAGTGTTTCAACCACATGCAAGGATCCTTAATAGCTTAAAAAAATGCAGTATCCTGTATCTTGGAAGTGATCCAGCAATATAGCACTAATATTTCTAAAGTCAAGTCACATAACTTGAGGCATAACAATTCAGTCCCATCAGAATTCTTTACTATTTTTAAATAAAATAGTTTACTGTGATTATTATTATTATTATTATTGAAACATCAAACTATGTCCCAACTTCTGTTACTGGCATCCTGAAAGAAACCTCAAGTCAGGATGAGGTCAACTCAAACCAATTCTTCCTTTAATTTAAACACCAGTCCTCTTGCATCTACATGAAAAGGAATAGTTTTGTGGTTCTATTTAACTGAATTCATTATCTGTTACTTGACAGTCATTTTTACCTATGTTCATCACACATATATTGCAATACAGTGCCAAACTGGTGAGGCATCATTTCCAGTAAACAAAGAGGGTAAGAGAGTACTTAATGCTATCTATAACTACCATGCTTTGCACGTTGCATAGTTTGCTAAGTATTTTGTAAAAACGGAAATTCCTCAAAAGCATGGCTCCACTTCCACTGAAGTTTGAAGGAGGAAACATTTTGACCCAACGAATGTGCCTTGGCAGTAGAAGTGTTATCTACAAATCCATTTCTTTTAAGAATAGACACACACTTCCCTCCGCTCCCTTCTGATTATACAGGTAATACATCCATTTTCTATCTTTCCCAATTCTTTGGTAGTTGGCTATTTAAAAAACTTAGCGCTTTTCACACTATACACGCACCATAATAGTAACTACTAATTTGATACACAAACCCCAGAACTTTCAAAAGTTAACATTAACCGCCATTACTTTTACCACTACACTGCTAACTTGCTAATGCCCCTCCCAATAGATTTATGTCCACATGAAGGAAGTAATGTATTTGTGTCTGCTTCCCAGGCAGCACCTGGAGATTATCATGTCTCATACTCAAGACAGCGTCCTCCTCTCTACTGTTAACAACTCCAGTTGAAACGACCATGCATTCTCTTTTCTTGAGGCTTGCACGTGCCTTTTCAGCGTCTTGAAGATCCACGGCCAGCTCTGCGGAGGCAGCCGGTCGCCCCATCCTGCACCGTTTCCCAGGCAACCAGCACAGCACAGACATGCACAGAATGAAGCCAGGCCTGCTGCATTTCTTAACTTCTTCCACTGCTTCTAAACCATTCTAACCATCAACTAAATAAAGCTGAATTTCTTTTAAAGCTTATGGCAGTAATTTTTATGCAAATCACCGAGGTCAGAAAAAACAAGGTTAGCCTATCTCCCATCTCCCGTCCCAGTAGAGAATGAGTTAGCGTACTCAAACTACTCCTCCAGAGAAGATGGGGACTTTGCTGTTGGAGCAAGACCGTCATGGGCTCCCTGTGTTGACCCATGATGATAAACACTACTAGGGCCACAGTGTTTTGCAAGCAGAGGGTAAGGAGGCAATAGCAGCCACATGTCCAACGTAGGAGGATGGAGCAGGAAACCTGACACACAGTTATTGTAGGTGCCACCTCCCTTACCAAACCACTGAAAATATTTTGTTGGATCATTGAATGTTCACTCCAATACCATTTTCCATCATAACATTAAAAGAAAAGCAAACAGCTTACCTCTCATGTACTATCCTCTTAAGACAAAAATCTAAAAGGCTGGCAGCACTATATCATTTCAGTTTTGTTATCAGGGTTTTATTTTTTCACACTTATGAACAGCAGCATAAGCCAGTGGAGATAAGTGAAGAGGGACAGCATATATCTTCCTCTTAAAACTTCACTACCCGACTGTTATAATGTAAATGGTATTTTGAATTATCAATAGTTTCTGGCAGTAGTAGAGATTAATATTGCCATTTGTGGAGTTTTTTAATCCTACAACTCACAAGCATTGAAAAAAACCCACCAAAGTGCTGCTTCTCAGTGATTCTTCTGTCCAAAAAAAAAAAAAATTTAACACTGAATGCTTTTTTTAAAAGTAGTAACTCACAATAAATAGAAAAGTTGCAAGTAACTTTAACAATCCAAGATATAAACATGGTTGTGTACAACTGCACAACTGAAGCTGGAATAACCATAGGTTTGAAAATTTGTACTGTTACATGAAAGCTGTCTGGGATAAACAGGGACTATATAAAAAGAATGTCGCTGCTGAAAGAATAATTTGCAGTCATTAAGATGATGACAGCTCCACTCCTGAATGTGAAACAAAACAAAGCTACAAATATGTAGTGTGTAGTCAGTTTTTTATTCTTCGGTTTTAAATAAAATTTTTTTTTAAAAATCATTTATTTATTTTTCAACAGAACAGTTTTCATGGTATTCACTGCTTGTTTTTTTATGACCAGCTCTACTTGGCTGTTATTTAGAACTGTCTTATTTTCCTCATAACAAGCAAAGAACTAAGATAACATAAGCAAGTCAGAGATTTTAGCCTCTGCTCCTAAGAGAGAAAAATTATATAGGAAGTACTAAAGGAACAATGATGCAAAACAAGTTTTGATGCTGATACAAATTCAGGATTTCTGTTCTTCCCAGACTGTCACTGGACTCACCACAGAGTCATCTCAACCATTTTGCTTAATCCTACAAAGAACTAACACTGAATATGAACCACAAAGTTACCCCTTGCTCTCAAATGTGTGATTCTATATGGCAATACTAAACTGGCACACACAATGGAACAGTTTAGGAATTAAGATGGCTAGATGTCAAACACAGTTATTTTGAACAGGAAAAAAAGAAAATAATTAATGGACTGGCTCAATTTAAAAAAATAAAACAAACCAAAAGAAACCCCACACAACCAAACAGCAGAAGATTTAATTCTAGAAAAAGAAACTGGCAAGGAGAGCAGAAATTCAACATTAGGGTAAGCTTCCTTTCTGTCAAAATCCTAACATCACTGACAAGGGTTAAATTAAAACAATAGTTCTTCCAAACAGTAAATCATGCAGGGAAGCTGCCCAGATTTGCAACTATAAAACCATGATGAGCAGAACTTAATCAAACAGAACAGTTGGAACAATTGAAGACGATGATGCTTTAAAAACTTCCCTTAGATGGAGACAAATCATGGAAGTTACCAGAAATCCTTCCAATCTTTTTTAACAGGGTTTCAGTCAGGTGATTAAAGAACACAAAGAACAACAGAAAACAACAGGACTGCTGCTATACTTGTACCAATAAGTGACCCTGCTTTGAAATAAAAAAAAAAAAAGACACCTTTAGAATAAGGTCTAAAAAAATTATAGTTTCTAACCTACCGTAACAAAAGTTTCATTAAAATGTTCTTTTCCAACAGAAAAATCTCTTTACAAACAAATACAGTATAGAGAAAAGTACTTTGAAGACCTTTTCTCTAAAGCTTTACAAATGACGGTTGGACTATCCTGATCTATAAAGATACAAGATCTGATCAAAGATTTTTCTAAGGATGAGACATTCATAAAGTTTCTTCTGTGTAGATTTTCTGGCGTGAATAATACAGATGAATTTACACCACAACTGCACGTATTATCCGCTGATTAATAAATGAGTAGCTTCAGGGGCTTTTTCCTGATAAGGACACTAATTTTGTTCTCTTCTCTCCCCAGCCCCATTTTCACATGTCCAGAAACGTCAATATCTATCAAGTTTGGGTGAAACTGGCCAAAGGATTCAAAAGCTATTAAAAAACCCCGACATACAAACAACGTGGCTATATAGGCATCACTTCCAATCCCTAAAAAACTTACCTAGTTGCAGTATCATGACTGTATCATTGAAGGCACGTGTCACTAATCCAAAGTGTCTGTGTAGGGGATAGCATAGCACTCTTCTTCCAAAAGATACCAGGACATCATGAATGCTGGTGAAACTCTGTGTATATCAGTGAAAAATCTGAATTAGTCTGTGTGCTTTTCGATACAAAGAAATAGGTTTTTATTTGTTTTCCTTTAAGGAAAAAAAGTCATAGCAGAGTAGGAAAAAAAGCACATTTTTATGTATTATGCATCTAAAAATCTGTACTTTAATAGATATGGAAATCAACATGTTAAATAGAAACAAGACACTGCACATTTAGTTTGCATGGCAGGATAACAGAAGTCCTATACGTTTTAGTGGTTTTGAATTAAAAAAAGAATATAGAGAACATTAGAATAAAACATCTAACTTGACTGCCATTCTTTAGATTAAAGCAATAAATTACATGTCCCACATTATTATATATATTAAGGGGAAGCTATAAAAAGCCTTTTAAGAATAAAGAAAAATTAAAACCACATGATATTAACAAAATACATGTGTACATTTAAGATCTTTAAAAATGATACATGACTCTGCCTTTCATGAAAATTATAGATATTCAAGGCAGGGATAAATATATCTGCCTAGGGAAAGCAGTTCATTGTCCTCCTTTATGAGTGAGGAAGGCCTCTAATTTACTCAGGCCAGACGCATTAATGAGTTATTAAAGACTTTCTTAAGAGAGTGATTTCCTTTCCAGCTTTCACTTTTCAAGACAAAATATTCCATTTATGAATTCAAATAAAAATACCTATTTCATCTTGAACTCTCAATTTATTAAAATTAATAAAAATACTTTGCTGACAGCTGGCACTTTTTTGCATTATATGACTACCTCAACCCATTTTTCATTTTAATGGATCGCTGGTAAGCATTTAAATGATTTATGTTTTGTTATTTAATATTTAGAGTCTAAGGTGTGTACATGTCATGCACAGCAAAATGGCAGTCAGTTCAAACAAACCATAGCTGAGGCAATTTTGTTTACAGATTGATGAAAACACCCGCCTCTACATGGTTTGTATAACAGATATAGTTATTAACAGCTTGGTGCCAGGAGACTGAATTTTCTGGGTGTGAAATATACTGTTGGCACAGGCTGCGCCAAGAACTGCTATATTATAGGATAAGCACATGCAGAAAACTCCTTCACTATGTTAGGATATGGATCTGAAAAAAAAAAAAAAAATCGAGAGTTAAGGCAATCACTGTATTTCAGCTGCACTCCTTTGTGACTTGCTACTGCAGAACATTCAACTGGAAACAAAACTAACAGATCTAGAAAACCAGTTGTCACAGAATGAGTTATTACTGAATATAACATTCACCACTACTAGAAACGTTTGAAGGACTGAACCCAAAAATCCTGTCAAATTTAATTTTTGATCCTACAAACTGAGACTTGGCTCAGTAATTTCAGGAATGAGGACGGGACAGTCCTTTCTAGCTTGCTGCCATCATAAGAAATAATGGATTACAGGCCAGGTTAAGTCCCTTCCACTTCCAGCTCTGTAACAACTTAATTACACAGGCCCATGTGCTTTCAGTAAACAATCTGAAAGTGCAAAGAATAGAATTCAGTTTGTTTCCTCTAGTCTATGCTGGTTGCAAAGGGCTAGCAGCAACTAAACAAATAGGGATGTGGCAATAACACTGAAAAGAAGGGGGCGGGTAAAGCAACACATGTCCACTAACTGACTCTGCAAGAAACCTGAAACAAAAGTATTCAGCGTGTCTGAAAGATCACACAATCATTAAAGCCTTAATGAGACAACAGTTCTACAACTACAGAACTGAGGTCTTTTTGCTACAAGAATATGGAAGTCAGCTTCTCCATGATGGGGGGGGGGGGGGGGGGGGGGGGGGGGGGGGGGGGGGGGGGGGGGGGGGGGGGGGGGGGGGGGGGGGGCAGGGAAAGACACCTTTTGATTGAGTTCTAAGAGCTTTTCCTATCATTGGGTTTGCATTTACTTCTGGGCTTCCCAGTTCCACTCTCTGACATACTCTGAAGTCACATAGCGGAATGGATGAGAAGCCAGAAGCCACCTGATTTGCAGCCAAGAAAAAGAGCAAGCTAGAAGTGCAGAATGATGAACTAGGAAAGCTGAAGAAATGGCTCAGCAGTCAAAACCCCCAGAAGTGAACAATAAGCTGCTTTATTAAGACCTGCCATCTTCAAAAGTTATTAAAACATATATCTGAGGTAGGACTTAAAGGACACAAGAACATCAAGAAATTACATTCCCTGCTTTTTATGCCCTTTCTATTTTAACATGCTTTAGCCAGTTAAACAGAAAGATACCTACGACTTCTGATCAAGGAGCTAGTAGGCTGTATTTTCTTGCCCTAAGCGTGGAGTTGCACACACATACTGTGGACATATGTTGAGGAGTAATTACAGTTACTTCCTAAATAAAGGTCAGGACTTGTGAATCAAGCCCAGGAGCTAGGGACAGTGTGTAGACGAGCAGCTTTTCATAGTGCCTATTCTTAGCTTTTCCAGAATGGGCCAGAAGGCGGCCCAGCACCCAGACAGATGAGAGGTCATACTCCAGCCTCTTGACGCTACTAGTAGCTGGGAGCCCAGAAGTCACAATCAATTTCTTGTAACATTTATTAAAAAGAGGACATACACTTAATTCATCTTCACTACTAGAAGAGTAAGCTTTCCACAAACGCAACATGCAACACCAAAAACAAATAATACAGCAAACACATGATGCAAAACTTAAGTTTTAACTTACCTCCAGCCAGCACAATGTTGCACTCAGTTTCCTGACATTCCAAGATGATTCAACCTGATTTTAAGAGGAGACCATAAAACAAGTATTATCTAATTCAACATTCAAGACTGCTGGCAAACTATTTAAGGTAACATTCTGGCAGCAATTTAAGAACCTTTGTGAATATGAAGCAGTAATTATATTATGTGCATTGAAATGGCCACAGGACAGCGTTAAAAATTATATTGCAATGCAGATGTTAAATAACTGAATTGGTTTCCGTATTGGGAATATCTAGCCCATGCACAACGCCTTTAAAATACAACAGTAATCACAGAAAAACAGTATTTTAGTGGAATTCAGTCCCTTTTCACCAAGCAACAGAAACTTGAATCAACAAAGCTCAAGCTAAAATGCCTTGTTTCCTGAAAAGAGCTCAAGACTGTTGGCTTTCAGAGAGGGTCCTAAAGCCAGCAGTACATGTAAAATGCCATTATTCTTAAAATGTGACAGATTCATAGTATTTGTGTGGTAGTGTGGTCTAGTGGGATGATTAGGGCAAAAAGCCAGGAAGCCTTGATCTATAATCCTGGCTCTAGTAAAGATCTGTGTGGCCCAAATGTCTTGGTTTTCCTATTAAAAAGGAAAAAAACCAAAAACAAAAACCCCACAGCGTGTTTTCCACATATACCATATGGTTATTGCAAAGATAATAAAGAATTGTACAATTGTGTTCCTCACATACTTGCAATTTTGTGCAACACTAACATGCAATACAACCACCATCCTAGATTATTCTGTTGAATAAGCAGGTCTGGACATTTCTGCCTGCCTTTCTAAAATCCATGCCCCACAATTTAGTCTGATTAAGACAGGATGGTTTTGCTTATATGTTCCACTATTTTGATTAAAAGCATTGAGAAAACATCTCACTGGTTACTATCAGCAGAGGAGATGCTAGGCACAAAGTTGTATCTGGGAAGCAAGTCCATTTCAGAAAGGCAAGCTATCCACAGAACAGCATGGAATCCATTCTAAACTTCTGCTATTTTCTTAATTCTTTATATTCTGTAAAAAGCCTAGGATACAGAACACAAAATAAAGCTGGTTGCTGCTTGTGTAAGAGATGGGCAAACACCAGAATCCTGAAAAAAAGCCTTCCTACTTCCCTCCAGTGTTTGAATACTAGAAAAAGAAAACTCTGCATTAGGATTTTTTTATTTTTTACGTGTGTTAATTTTAAAAATTTTAAATGCCTCACTCTAGTTTCCAGAATTCCTCAGGAAACACCTTCCATACTCAGTGCATAAGCTTTAAAAAACAAACAAAAAAACACAAAAACGCCTAAAAAAAATCAGTTTTGCTAAAGGCATATAATGGTAGCCTCTATAAAACACTAAAAACATAGTTTCAGTCCTACAGACTTAATGGTTTCCCATGCTGTTTCAGAATCCAAATCAGTAGTGGTGTTAGAGACAAACATACCTATTATGGAACTGTCCAAAAAACAGAAGGAAGAACCATCAATAGAAAAGAACAATTATTTTTGTGAAATCTGTATTTACATAAATCAAGACACATCACAACACAAAACAAATCAGAAACAAACAGAATTGTCTGGAGTCTCCTGCATCTCCACTTTTCTCCTACAGAAAATGCTACTCCAGCAGACCAGAAGTATTTAGAAATCATATTAATCCCCACACGCATCCCAACAGCTCAATCTAGAGATATAAAGTCTTTCATTTTAACTTACTCATTTATATATTTTTAATGCTTGAAAATAAATTCACTTGAAAAGGTAGGTTTCCTAAATGACAGTACAGGGTCCAGCACTAGGTTCCTAAAACATACTAAATTTTGGGGGGGGGGGTAATTTTTTTTTAACTTACATTCTTGTCTCCTTCATTGACACAGACTTCATAGCAATATGCCAGAAGGATATCAATTAAACCAAGATATACATGATGACGGCTTCTTTTATCCAGAAGATAAGATTTATTTGTGAATTTTCTCAGCTGCTCTCTCTCTTCCTCAGAGAAGACAACTATAAAAAGTAAAAGGATAATTGATTATGAATTTAAAGCTGGCACATTCATTTCAATAGGTGGTAATACTACTTCAGCAGTCTCTTTGAAAAGAAGCGTGTAACTAATCACAAGTCACTCATCACTCAAGAAAAAGCCTAAATCATTCTTACTTTCATTTTTAACTTTTAAACTCTGATATATTCCTTTCAAAGTCAAGTTCCAGCCCTGCAAGGTACTGCACGTACACACTGGCAATTCTGAACCCCTCTGAAAGCGCCAAGGATTTCTATGGATGCCTGGGTATCTTATACAGAGATAAATGCACAATCAGCATCGGAGTAAATTGAAGTTTCTTAAGTCCACATTGTCTGGGATAAAAATAAGAAAACAGGAAAACAACAACAAATATATTTTCTTATTGTAGAAAAGGGTAAGAACTAAAGAAATAGGGAAGGGAGAAAAAGGAAAGGTACAATTCTGTATTTCCAAGCCTCATCAATTTCGACTCATGACCTAGGCATGATTTAGGAGCTTATTTATGCTGTCTGATAACATCCTTCCAGTGTCTGGGGAAGACTGAAGAAAGATCAAAATCCCATCCCCACCGATGTTGGTATGAAAGCTGCATCTCCTTCCAAAGAGCTATGGTATCCACCATCAGTGACCATCATATTTTGCTTTTCTTCAGTGTACCTCATTTAGTTAAGAATGGCTATACTGAGCCAACCCAAAGATTCTTCTCACCCAGTACTTCCTCTTTGGGATGCATAAGGATGACGACAACAACAACATAGCAGGCATGATGTGACAATGCATCAAAGTATTTCTCTAGGAAACAGCGGTATAGACATGGATAGCTAAGATTGAATATTGAATAGTAACCCTTCTGAAGCGTACTTAAAACACTTCAGAAAGGATGGCAGAATTGCCTTGAAATAACAGTAGAGATTAAGTAGATAACTGACTACAAGCCATCTCTGTATAAACCCAAAGTAAATCAAGAAGCCATTTAGTACAATTAAAACAGCCAGAAGCCAGGGCTAAGAGATTTTCATCCAGGCTGCATGGAGCGCAGGTATTCCACGTCAACAGGCGCTGATCTACTGAATAGGATAGATGTCGTGAGCGCATTTTGGTCACACCACAGGAGAAAGTTACAGGCACAAGGTGACTTGACAGGAGAAAGAAGTGTTACTAGCTTGACAGCTGATGCTTTGTTGCATTGAGGAAGTCCCACTCCATGATTTGTTCAAGCACCAGTAACACTGGAACCAACCTGAGTTTAAAGTACCACACACTGAACGGGGTTTCTCTGAGGACAGGAACAAGCCTAATGCGGCACTCTTACTACACTTTCAAAATAAACCCTAAGTGCCAGGGGTGGATACATGATGTACTCCTTAACTAACTGAATTTTAATTATTTAGTCTAAGCAGGGAGGGGTATCAAAAACAAAACCTTACAATTAGTATCGAAATGTCTCTTCAATTATTCTTTTACCACCCCTTTTTTGAGTCACTATGTTCTGGCATAGTTAGCTGGGGGCAGAGAAAAGCTGTAGGCAAGATGTACAAATTTAAAAACATAAAACAATTAATGGTTTAATCACTAAGATGAGGATGTGATACTGGCTAAGCGTTAATATGTTCATCACCCCTGATAAAGCACCTGAAGAGTCCTTGCTATAGCCAGGCAGGCAGCTGGGAAGGGTCAGCCTTTGTGGCTCCATGAGACAGATCCTTGAATATTGTTGAGCTGCCATCTTCCACCAGCTTCACCAGCACTAACAACTTGACCTGCTAACCCAACAATTCCTGCCCCAACTTGATTCTCTGTTTTTCCAGTTGAGGATTTGATATCTTCCATGTTAGTATTGACCTCTGGAATCCTTGAGCTACTAATGATCCTGTCTCAACAATCCTACCTGCAATTTTACTGTTCTTATTTTTCTGCAGACTTTCTCACAGCTCTTTCTCAGCAGCATGAGCGAGCCAGGGTCATTATGGGCAAAACCCATAATCCAGAGCCCTGGGCCCTTGGGACACAGGCAGCTAAATCCCCAGAGGGGGGGTTACAGCACGGATTACAGAAAGAAAAGGTTACAACCCCTAGTAAACCAAGTTCCTTTTTACACCCCTTGCCCATTTCTCTATCATAAGGATGATAATTGCAAGTGTGCTTATAAATGTTTCTCCTCAAACACTGCTCATCATCATTTTACATGATCCACATTCTCAGGGATACAATCAGTCTATAAGACATGGTCTTCTCTATCCCCAGAGCTTTCTACAAGCTTTCTAATTTTATTACATGCTTTGAAACAAATGTTTGTGATGCCAAAGGCATGTACATAAGCACACACCTCATCTCAAGACATAAAATTACGAATTAGGGAAAACATTTTTGAATGTTTCTTCTTTATGAACTTTTTTAATGTTTCTATCAGCTTCATAACCATGAAATACTTGATTTAAATTCCTATGGCAACTTCTTGATGAGCTAAACATTTCTCTGGAGTCAAGCCAGTCTCCATTTATTTACAAGCTCCCACAAAAAGAAATTCCAGCTTTTATATCATCTTGAGAAAGCCAATCTCTTCCACTTGCTATGATCTAGTACAAAGTGACAATTCAGCAAGACTATGGCAGTTTTAACTCTGTTTTTCTATTAATGCAATGCAGTTCAGTATTACCCCTTAAATCACAAATATAGATGATGTATCTATAGTCTATCAGCAAATTTCTTTATAAGTTCTTAAATCGCATTGATTCTTCAGTGAGTCACCTCTATCATTCATATTAAAATTGTCCATAAAACCGTATGTGCAATGTTGTAGCACATTTGAAAAAAATTAGTTTCTGAAAAACATAACATAAAACCACTTTGTAAGTTGCCACAGTAGGGTGGGTTTAATGAGCTATCACAACAGGGTGTTAGAAGAAGGTCCAATTGGAAAGAAAAAAAGGCATTTCCGATTTCAGCTAGCTTTCACCAGAAAACCCTCTCCTGGAGTACAACACAATTTATTATAAAATCATATGCAAGTGGCACTTTCACCCTGAAGAGAAGCACAAAAGAGGAGAGGTGAAACTGAAGCTAAAGATAGAAAAGAAATACCAAAAAGCAAACAGCCAAAGTTTGTTAGCAAAGACTACTGCAGCAGGTCAGATTCATAAAGCTTAAAATCACTTCTGATGACTACAGTAAAAAGTGTGTTACAAAGCAGCTAAATAATTCCTTCTAAGCACATGAGAATCTATCACAGCCAGAATACCTGTTAAACAGTTATGCCAACACGCTCGTATTTCTAGGCCCACCTCAATGCACTTGCTACAGTTAGCAGTCAAGACGCACACTATCAGGAACGCAACTGTTCTCCTTCAGAAACTCATTATTTTCAGTACTGGATCCACTACTGAGAATCCACTCTTCTTAATCAGCAACTACAACCTTAAGTTTGTTTTTGTCTCACAGCTGATGAAAATTAACCTCTCTTATCATACAGATAAGAAACAGTCCAGCACTGAGAGCAAAAAATTGACTTTTTAAAGTTTTACTAACGAGTATTTGTTAGATTCCCCAAAATCCACATTCTAGAGGAGTATGTAAATGTGAACCATACTTCCTTTCTAAGTACAAAGCAAAGAAACTCCTAGTGAAGTTCATGAAACATACGAGAGAGAGTTTTCTTCCTCTAAAATGCAAACTCTCTGAAGCATCATAACATATACAACTGGACCATAAACACAGAAATGGCAAGTCTACTAGACAACAGCAAACAAGACACAGACTAGACAATTCCCAGAGGTAAATGTTACAAGTTGTTCATTAACTCAGTGCAAAGTGCCAGGTGTTCTAAATAAAATTTCTCTGCCTGGCAAAAACACTGCAATTTTACAAATAAATATCTATCCATTCCTTAAAGTTTTTGAACAATAAATTATCCAGGCCTGAAACTCATTATTAACACGTCAAAACCACCACCTACTTTGTTTTCCCAACTCAAAAATACAAGCACATAGTATAAGCTTAACAGAACAAGTAAAATTGCAATTGCATTTTCTGCTATATTAAGCCCATACACTTGCATTACCAATGTTTTATCTAACAATAACTGTACAATTAATATTAATCTAATGCAAAGCAGCATCTATTGCTCATTATTAACACGTCAAAACCACCACCTACTTTGTTTTCCCAACTCAAAAATACAAGCACATAGTATAAGCTTAACAGAACAAGTAAAATTGCAATTGCATTTTCTGCTATATTAAGCCCATACACTTGCATTACCAATGTTTTATCTAACAATAACTGTACAATTAATATTAATCTAATGCAAAGCAGCATCTATTGCTATTTATCAAGTACTAAATTTGTGAGTTTTCCTTAAGTTTAAGATGTTTTGTACGTGTGTCAGTGCCAAAATCATGCTGCTTCTAGCCACAGTACAACTGTGTATTAATATATGTATGTCTAAAGGAATCAAATTAATCTCACATATAAAGTTACTGTTAGACGATATCACAGAGATGACCCTTACTTTTTAATCATCTCCTTTATTTATTTTAAACTAGCCCTTCCTCATGTTAAAATAAACATATTTCAAATTGCCCTTCAGCACCCGACTGCCAACGAAGTACAGTTTAATCTCTAAAGGGGAGAATGAGGTCTGACAGCTAGAGGGTGTTTTGTTATGGTCTTACTGATATTTTACACTGCCCATCACATCACTTAAATCAAGCCAGTGTAAGATCTGTATCTCAAGACTAGTATGACACGGTTCTAAATGTGTTAGGGGTACTTAGATAAAACATGCTATCTAGACAGATAGCTGACTCAGTGGTCAGACTCAGAAAATTACAGAAAATTAGGTAGGTCAGGAAGGACCTCTGATAATCAGCTGGTCTAGTATTCTGGTGAAAGCAGAGCCTTGGCTTACGGTCCTGTCAAGCCAAGTCTTGAATTCCACAGCTATCTCAAAGGAAAATAACTGAGCAGAACTGATCCCCCCCGC